GTTGCAAAATAACTTATTTCCCCAACAACTTGAGCTCACTTATGAATGTATGTATGTATGTATTTGGGTTAAACTACCTCAAGAAGCAGCTTATGAGCTAAACAAAATCATGACTTTGTAACAAATTAAAAAGATAATGTGTTTTTTTTTGTTCTGACATCCAATTTAAAAATATTTAAAAAAATACTGGCACAAACGGAGAAAAGGCAAAGTATGAAAAGCAAATATAAACTTACTTCTAAGTAACTTTAGTTGCAAAATAACTTATTTCCCCAACAACTTGAGCTCACTAATGAAACTTATTTAAAATCTTATTTAAAACGCAACAATATGTTTCATAGACAATAAGAAAAACAACGAGGGGAGCTTAGTGCACTTTGTTTTTTACCGATCTCAGCCAGCTTGTTTGGATCTTCTGAAACAGCCTCCAGTTTGGAAAGGAAACTTTTAATAGCTTTAAATGCCTGATGAAAAACAAACAAACAAGAAACCTCAATTAGATACTAAAAAACAAGTTCAAGTGGCAACAAAATGTCATAAACTCCTCTTAAAACTGTCAGTCACTGGACATCAATGACACTTAAGCAAGTTCATTCCTCTTATACTGCTACTTTAGTTGCAGAACTTGAAGAAGAACAAGATGCTGTCAGCAAATATTTCAACAAGTGTTAACATTAAATGATACAGCATGAAGGCACAAACTCGCACATTATTGTCGTTATTATGCTAATGTTGCATTTTCTCTTGCACCTAAAATGACTGTTTTCTTACTAATGAATACTTTACATGCTAATTATTTTAACTGCCAGGCTGCAGCATTCTGTTTTCTCAGCTCTCCTGCAAGAACTAACAGCTTTGAGTTGAAGCTATAAGAAATATCATAAAGGCCCAGTGAGGGTTTTGGTTGTTGTACCTGATCTCTGACATTTTTATCAGGGTCAACAGTAACGGCACAGAGGGTGGGCAGGATTCGGCCAGCGATCTCCGTCACGCTGTAGTAGTTGTGTGTAGCAGCGAAGCCCAGCACTCCAGCAGAGCGTGAAGCAGGAAACGGGTCTTTGGTGGCTCGAGAGAAGGCAGAAATCAGAACACGCTCTCGGGTCTGTAAAAACAACGACAATCCAATTATTTTTCCACCCCACTTTCTTTTTTCCATCTTAAATGTAGAACGTTTTAATGATGACGTGCTTTACCGTAGCGTTGAGGTAGGAGGCAATTTTTCCCAAACACACGGTGGTGTTGCACCGGATTGGGCCTTGTTCGTCTCTAGCCTGCAGCCGGGCGAAGTGTCGCATCAGCTCCTGGTTCAAGTTGGTCTCGCTCAATTTAGGAGCCAACAGCAACATAGACTTCATGGACGAAAGAGAGAAAAAAAGACTGACTTCATGCTCAGAGTAACAGAAACTGTTATTTATATGTCAGACTGTGTCTATCTCTAAACTCCGTACCTTAACGGTCTGTTCTCTGATGGCAGGGTTGGTGTCTGTGAAGCCGTGAACAACGTGAGGAAAAATCTGTGAATTAACCGCCGCCTCGTTGAGATACTGAATGAACTGCTCCATCTGAGAAAGACAGAAAACAAACTTGACAGTTGTTCAAAAGCATTTACAAATAAAATGCTTACAATCTCTTCCTGCCAATAAAATAGGGCTTGTAAATATTTAAAAAGCTTTGAAACATCACAAGCAAATAACAATTTTTAAACATTATTTAGCCAATTTCTAGCAATTCTTTAAGAACAGAGTATGGTACGGCCAAGCAGAACTTTTAAAGACTTTTTTTTCAGGGCTATTCAACTAAATGTGGGCGGCCGTGGTGCAGTGGTAGTGGCAGCCGACCTCTGATCGGAAGGTTGGAGGTTCGAATCCCGACTTCCCACACCATGTGCCGTTGTGTCCCTGGGCAAGACACTTAACCCCGAGTTGCTCCCGGTGGGACTGGATGGCGCCTTGCATGGCAGCCTACCGCCACCGGTGTATGAATGTGCGTGTGAATGGGTGGATGGCTGGTACTGTAAAGCGCCTTGGGGCCCCTCATAGGGGGCTGGAAGGCGCTATAGAAGTAAGCTCCATTTACCATTTACCATTTAAATTGCTCAGTTTACAAGACAGTGGTAAGACCAGCTATGTTGTATGCTTTGGAGACAGTGGCATTGACAAAAAGACAGGAGAAAGAACTGGAAGTGGCAGAAATGAAGATGCTACGGTTCTCCTTAGGAGTGTCAAGGCTGGATAAGATTAGGAATGAGATCATCAGAGGTACAGCACAGGTTGATCAACTGGGAGATAAAGTTAGAGAGGCCAGACTGAGATGGTTTGGACATGTCAAGAGGAGGGACCGTGGGTATATTGGTAGAAGGATGTTAGAAATGCAGCTGCCAGGAAAAAGCCAAAGAGGAGATATATGGATGTAGTTGGAGAGGACATGGAGGTAGTTGGAGTGAGGACAGAGGATGCAGAGGACAGAGTGAGGTGGAGGAGGATGACTCGCTGTGGCGACCCCCTGAAGAGGAAAAAGACGAAAGAAGAAGATTCAACTAAATTGCTCAGGGGGCAACAGTTACTGAAAGCCAAGAGCTCAGGGGTCAGACATCCAGCAGTTATTGTCATAAAATAAGTTTGTTTTATGGTTTAAAATCTAGTTTTGTTGAAAAAATGGACCCATTGGTGGACTGAACTGAGTTCATCTTGAGGCCAGATTTGGCCCTCGGGCCGCCAGTTGAATAGCCCTGCTTTATACATTCAGACTTTTATTTTACTGAGGCTTAAATTGAGGCAAGTCCTGCATGTGAGCTAAAGATCACCTCAAACAAGCACTAAAAAGAGGAGTCTGGAAACAGAAAATACCTGCTGCAGAAGTCGTATCCTCATGGCTCGGTCTGTGGAGGAAAACATCTTCACGATGACAGGAATGATTTTCTGTTGGTATTCTTCTGCTGACAGAAACTTCCCCACCTGGCACACCAACAGGACATGAAGTCAGACGTGAAAAACATCTCTCCAGAAAAAAAAAATTCATTGTTTTACAGAACTTAAGGTTGTTGTTGTTTTTTTTGTTTGTTGGTGTATTGAGGAATTAAATTTGCCCAGAGGTAAGGATTTACCTTGAAGAGCGGCGTGAGGACGACAGCTCCTGCATTGCCGAACTCGAAGGCGGTGAGCAGCTGAGGCAGGACCTTATGTTTGCAGAAGTTTTCAGGAAACGAGTCCAAATTTTCATTTAGGTCCTGGAAAAACTGCTGCTTCTCGGCTGGATCTTTGATCTACAGAAAGACAAAAAGTCTGAATATTCTTAAAATCCATTCATCTTCATATCAACTGTAGCGCCATTTTCAGAAACACACGAATGAATAGGGTTGAAGTAAGGCATCGTTTACATTAGAAAGGCTGACTTATCTTGAACCAAAAATTATTTGATTTGCTTTCATCTTGGCAGAGATCCATTACAAACAATTTAAGAGCTTGTTAACCTGGATCTCCTCCAGGAAGAGGTTGCTTTCCACGAAGCTGTTGCTAAGGAATCCTCCAGGAGCTCTACAGTTCTGGAGGAAGCGGGCCGGGTTTGGTCGAGCCCGTGGATTAGCTCCAACCAGCTCACAGTAGTGGGAGACAAGTGACTTGGGAATCTGAAAGAACAAAAAAGGAGATAAAATATCTTAAAACAATTTTATAATAATGAAAATCTGTATCACTAATAAAAAATGCTTTTAGCTGCTGATGAAACCAATGAACCTTAAAAAAATACTAAAGATCTGCTCGTAGGCAACTAAATGAGAGCAAGAGCTTTATATATGCATCATTTATTACTTTTATTAAAAGTGAGTAAATCTCAGTATAGCAGCACATTTCAAGATAAAAATCACAAAGTGATTCACATCATACAAATAAAACAGCTTAAAAAAAACTTTTAAAGCTTTTTGTCAAGTGAATTTTGGTAAAGGTTTATGGATGATTGTCACTAATGTTGAATAAATGTGTGTTAAGAGTTTTGTCTGCTCAGAGAGGAACCCGCAGACGCACCGAGGAGCACTGATAACTCCAAGGCCTTCTCCTCGAAGCCGAGGTCGTCTTGACCTCAACTCTGTCTGACAGGTGTGTATTATAAAGCACTTCCTGCCTCGCTGTCCGCTGCAGATCTTCACGACCGGGGGGTTTTGAGCATGTAACTTTGTGAACCTGTGTGTGAACTCTGCCCCTGCATGTAAACTGGGTTGAAAAATCCTCTGTCAATGTGTGAGTAAGTAGATGATGAAAGGATATTTATTTTGTCTAACACTTTTAACAATGTATTAACAAAATTAATATATTTCTATTTTTCAGTAATATTCGTTTCTTGAAGAGGACATTGTGATCTGTGGTGAGAACAGGGAACAGGTGGAAGAGAATTTAGAGGTGAAGGTATGTACTTGAAAGAGGAGGAATGAAAGTCAGCCGTAGTAAGACGGAGTACATGTGTAAATGAGAGGGAGGCCGGTGGAGCAGTGAGGCTACAAGGAGCAGAGGTCACAAAGGTGCAGGACTTCAAGTACTTGGGGTCCACTGTCCAGGAAAATGGGGAGTGTGGTAAAGAGGTGAAAAAAAGAGTCCAGGCAGGATGGAGAAAAGTTTCAGAAGTGATTTGTGAGAAAAGGTAAAAGGAAATAGAATAATGAGACCAGCTATGTTGTATGGTCTGGAGATAGTGAAATGAAGATGTTGAGGTTCTACTTAGGAGTGACAAGTCAGAGTCAGAGTTTCTTTATTGTCATTTGCACCTCATGTGGTACATGTGGTGGAGCGAAATTATGTACACAGGGTCCCAGTTACATCAAGGCTGGATAAGGTTAGGAATGAGATCATCAGAGGTACAGCACAGGTTGAACAACTGGGGCATAAAGTTAGAGAGACCAGACTGAGATGGTTAGGATGTGATGGAACTCGTGAGAACTTGGTCATATTTGATGATTAAACACAGAAACTGTAAAGCGGACATACCTTTCCCAACGAACGAAGGGAGGAAGTCCGAGGTAATGGCCCGTTGAACACCTCCCATATCAGGCAGCCGAGTCGCCACACCTCCCCTGCCCTGCAGCAAAAGCACATCCAGCTAAGCAAGTTCCTTCCACAGAAACCGGGACGTTTTTATAAAGAACCCTCCCTCACCATTTCTCTCCACCGTTGTTTGGCATCTCCGGTGGGTCATATTTCTCCATGTCCGGGTTGACAGCTTTTGGGCTGGGGAGTGACACGCCGCTGGGGTCGCCCTGCTCAGGAGCCAGATGATCCAAGGCCCCTAGCTTCCACTCGCCGGCTCGATCCACAAAAACAGCCCAAATGCCCAAGTTGTTATGAAGCAGGTGGCAGTCGTTGACCAGAAAACTCAGAGCTTTCTGTGAGGAGAAGCACACGGCAGACGTAAAGACAACAGGAACTATGGTTTACTTTAAAGCATCCGACAATATTCTTGCATCATATTCTCACCACTATTTGATGCAGTCCCCATGATATCTCCAGTTCGCCAGCACCGCCATTTTCTGACTGGGCCTTCAGGTGAACTGCCAGCGGCGTCACCTGCTCAGTTACGACGTAAAGACTCTTGTCGGTCTGAAACAACCACAACCAAGATCAACAAGTGAGAAAATTTTAATAAAATGATGTGCCTTTCTTAACATTACACGGTACGGCGAACTTGACAACACATCACCTTGATTCATTCAAATATTTTCAATATTATAGATTTATTTTTACTCCAGTAAAGCAAGAAGTTCCAGTTGCCTCATTTCCAAGTTTGGCAACTACTTTCAGAATGGTTTTCAATAAAACCAACACAGAAGCTAATTTTCTATGTAGCTTAGTAGATTGTCTTCTCTCATTATTTAGTAAAAGCAAATCAAGTGTACTATTAAAATGCAAAAAGGGCACTTCCTTTCATGCCAGAGTTTTCAAATAAAATGATTTTATGCTAAGAAGGGACAGAGTTACAGCCCTGGTGGTCAAACTTTGTTAATGAGGAGTGCACGACCTCAGGCGTTAGTGCAAGATCTCGCAAGGCGTGTTGGCGATCAGGGAAAGTGTAAAGAAAGGTTTTCAACTGGTACTACACCTGAATCATCTCAATTTCTGTAAAACTGACTGAAACCGATATATTTATGTCGGCTAATGTCATTTAGCTGTGGTGGCCATCTTGATTTGGGTTGACTTCACATGTTAATGAGTTTTAGGCACAACCAATAATTACTTACTGAGAGTTTCACTAAAATCTGTCCAGTGGTATCAACAAAGTTTGTCAACTAGTTCAAAAGACATGTTGCCAACAACTACACACACAAACAGGAGCAAAAACATCATTGTCTTTACATCAATGCATTCATCAGCCATAACATTGCAACCACTGACTCACGCTGGAGATTACACACCCATTTGGATCAAGATATTCTACTTCATCATCAGGACAGCACCTCACAAAATCTGCTTAGGAATGGCTCAAATTTCAAGGTACTCAACTAAACTTCAAATCCTACAAGATACTAATTCGATAAAATCCAATTACCTGTACATCAAAGGGAAGTACGTCTACTCTATTTAGGTGCTTGAGCTTGAATTGGCGGCAACTGGACTTTCTTTCTTTGTAACATATCTTGTAGCATTTAGGTCTGCAGTAACCCAAATGATTGTTTACAGTGACACAAACCCAATTCACAGAGACCCCACCCCACAATACAAAGCCCCCCCAAGATCGTTACTGGTGTTTTAGACACTACAGGACCCCCACAGATGTTCTTTGTTCATACACTGACTGTTCATTAAAAAAAAAGCTGTTTTTATTTTTGTAAACATTATTTTATTGGCAGTCTCAGCTGGAACACATTTCAGAATGATGGGAGGTTCTCCAGTCTTGTTCCGCTTGAAAATTTTAATTTATTTTTATAAAAAAGAACTAGAGATCTCATCCATAAGCACATATTGTTATTGAAAGTTGATATTTTTTATGTTTGTGTATCTTATATTTAAAAAATAACAATTTAAATGGATGTATCGATAAGGGCAGCACGGTGACACAACTGGTAGAGCTGCTGCCTCTCAGAGAGAGGGTTGCCAGTTCAAATCCCGGTCCAGGCACCTTTCTGGGTGAAGTTTGCATGTTCTCTCCGTGCATGCGTGGGTTTTCTCTGGGTACTCCGGTTTCCTCCCACATATTAAAAACATGCATGTTAGGCTGATTGGTAATTCTAAATTGTCTCTAGGTGCGAGAGAGAGTGAGCGGTTGTTTGTCTCGTTTGTCTCTATGTGTCCCTGTGATGGACTGGAGAACTGTCCAGGGTGTCCCCCGCCCCTCGCACAGTGATTGCTGGACATGAGCACCGGTGAACCCCGTGATTCAAAATGGAAGAAGCGGGTAAAGATAATGGATGGATGGATGTCTAGATGGCCAGGTATGAGTGGTCAGTGGACCATGGAAGGATGGATGTGTTATCTATATGTATGTATTATCAAAGTTTTTGTTTTATTTATGCACAACAGGTTTCTCTTGCAGATGAGACAATTGTGTCAATTAGACTAACCTGTATAAAGGAAAAGAAAGGTTAGCTCTATATTAGCCAGGTGAATACAGGTAATGTGTATTTCTTCTACACTGTTGTTCTACATCTACAGCAGCTCCTAAAAGTTAATTAACTCACCTCTCTCTGAATAAAGGTAGGCAGAGAAAAAAGCAGATGTAACACAGCTGATCATATGGCAGCTCTGTAGCAGAAGAAGGCTACTCGCCTCTAACTATTAAAAAACTGAACATGATCAATGCAGAACCATTTAGGCTAGAATAAATACCTCTAGTCCATCGACATAAGTCAGGATGTTGGGATGCCTCAGGGTCTTCATTCGTTTGAATGCAGCTTTGGCCAGCTGGGTTTGTTGCTCTGTTCCTTGAGACACTTCGTAGACAAACACAGAGACAGGATCTCCTGTAGTCTGAAGGGGACAGGGCGAGGTTGAGTAAATCACGCTCACGCCGTACCGAACATTTAACTTTGAGTTCAAACATCAAACACTTGTGTTTATTTAATTTAACGCGATATTCAGGACTGGAGATAGGGAGTGATGGCGCAGAGGTTAGAGAAGGTGGGCTTGTGATCGGAAGATCGCTGGTTCATCTCCGGTATCGACAACATCAAAATGTGCCTCTACCCTCATTTGCCCCACTCTTGCCCTTGAGCAAGGCCCTTAACACCAACATCCAATCCCCCAGGCGCCCTAGATAGCAGCTCTCTGCTCCACAGAGAGGGTTGTGGTAGCTCGGTGGTCTGTGGTTACGCCGGGAATGGCACCCGGAGTAAAAACAATTGCCAAGTCTTGACCCCTGATGAAGGGAGCAGCCGAAAGAAGAAGAAAAATTCAGGACTGGAGATGAAGAAGTTGTTGCTCAGCAGTCAACTGATCCTGCGGTGAAGATGATTATAGACACATGACAGTCTCTGCTTCTCCGTGACAATTATCACTACGGTCCGTCAGCTGTGTGTAAATGTGTTGAACCGGCTTTCAACCGATTTTTATTGAAATAGTAAATCGGATATGAGGTGACGTGGCGAGAAATACGTGTCTGTTGGAGTAAACTCCTAGCCTGTGCTAACACCGAGTGAGAACAAGGACACCGCCATGAATTAAAACTAGTACTGACAATTTATGAGGGCAACAAAACAGGAGAGGACATAACAGATGCGACATGGGAGACAAATTTAACTCTAAATGTCGCATGTTGGCAGGCCTTCGTAAACAAACGAGCTAAGGCTAACACAGTTAGCCGCTTTTACCTTTCGTTTCCCCCGATGCAGAGTCCAGATTCCGGACTTTTCCGGGCTGTCCGGGAGAATTTCATAAGCAAAGTCTTTGATGGGATCTCTGGCAAAAAACGACCACATTTCCTCTTATTTCCAAACCTCATCAAACACCAAACATACACAGGCAGCGGTAGACAAGCACAGACTGATGCCGGAGTAGACTAGCTGTGACTAAGAACTACAAACAAGCTCGGAAGAAAAATTAGTCCCCGGGAACTTTGGTTAGGCATATTAGTTCCACATTCTAGAAATCTAAAATACACGTAAATTTAAAAATATAATCATTATAAAGTAGTTAGATCATTTTTGAAATATCTAAATTGTAAAAAAAAATCCACCTTTTTATCAGAACGTTTTTGTGTAACAGAAATAATTGCTGATGACGTTCACATATTTTTCAAATAAGGGAATAAATACCTATAAAAAAAAAAACTACATTTGATGCAAAAACAAAGAAACAAACAAAAAAAAACTAGAGACATATTGGAGCCCTGGTATATAAAAAAATAAAAAGCTGTTTTCACTCAAGTCACGTGACTGATATAAACAAAAAGTTTTTCCGTTTTCAAAATCCAAATGTGATAAATGTCAGGGAATTAGCTAAAAATAATTAAATACAGAGGCCATATTAAACAGTAGATTAGACACTAGAATCTATTGCCTATGTGTCATACTGAAATGATTCCTGACTACTTGGGCTCTTCTGTTTTATTCCGGGAGACGTGTTGAAGTGGTACGTATGATCCTATCAAAATAATCTTTAGATTATTTAAAGTCATTATCTGAGAGACAAAAAAAAGTCAGAGTTCAAACAATATTATTTCATTAAGAGTTCCTTTTTTGATGTCACTTCCTGTTTCACTTTGGCCATGCCAAATTTAAAATAAAATGTCATTTATTTAATGGGTAAAATAATCTGTTATGTTAAGTTTATTAAATATTAAGATGTTTTATTGCACTTTTGTCTATCTAAAACAGGTGTCTTTTGAAAACAAGTCCTTGTGACTCAATTAAGACTTCCTGTATAAATAAAGGTTGAATGAATGTCACATATGGTTGTTCTCAAAGTTGAGAGGTTGTGAGATGAATGGAGAGAGGCCATGTTGTGCTCCCCTTGCTGCAGTTTGTAAAACTCATTCATCTGCTCTGTTTGGGCCTCACGTGGCTCCTTCTGACATTTTTCTTCATAAGCCCTCTGTTTGGCCAGATGTCTCCATTCTTTCTTCTCTTTCTTCTAGATGGGAGCATATGTTGTTCTAGAACCTGAACATAGTTCTCTGCATTAATGGTGCCTTTCCAGACATGCAAGCTGCCCATGCCACAAGCGCTCATGCAACCCCATACCATCAGTGATGCAGGCTTCTGAACGGAGCGTTGATAACAACTTGGGCTGTCCTTGTCCTCTCTGGTCCGGATGACATGGCGTCCCAGTGTTCCATAAAGAACTTCCAATCGTGTCCTTGTCCTCTCTGGTCCGGATGACATGGCGTCCCAGTGTTCCATAAAGAACTTCCAATCGTGTCCTTGTCCTCTCTGGTCCGGATGACATGGCGTCCCAGTGTTCCATAAAGAACTTCCAATCGTGACACATCTGACCACAGAACAGTTTTCCATTTTGCCACACTCCATTTTAAATGACCCCTGGCCCAGTGCAAACGTCTGAGCTTGTGGAGCTTGCTTAGAAATGGCTTCCTCTTTGCACTGTAGAGTTTCAGCTGGCAACGGCAGATGGCACGGTGGATTGTGTTCACTGACAATGCTTTCTGGAAGTATTCCTGAGCCCATTCTGTTATTTCCTTGACAGTGGCATTCCTGTTTGAGGTGCAGTGGGCCCGGAGATCACGAGCATCCAGTAGTTTTATGGCTTTGACCCTTACGCACAGCGATTGTTCCAGATTCTCTGAATCTTTTGATGATGTTATGCATGGTTGATAACTTAAAAGTATTTGCTATTTTACGCTGGGTAACACCATTCTGGTATTGCTGCACTATCTTTCTGCGCAACAATGGTGGAATTGGTGATCCTCTTACCATCTTGGCTTCTGAGACACTGACACTTTGAGAAGCTCTTTTTATACCCAATCATGTTGTCAATTGACTTAATTAGTGTTAATTGGTCTTCTAGCTGTTCGTTATATGCTCAATTTCATTTTTCCAGCCACTTATTGCTACTTGTCCCAACTTTTTTGGGATTCGTTGACACTGTGAAATTTTGAATCAACATATTTTTCCTTTAAAATGTTATTTACTCAGATTAAACTTTTGATCTGTCATCTATGTTATATTACGAATAAAAGATTGACATTTGCCATCTCCACATCATTGCATTCAGTTTTTATTCACAATTTGTTTAGTGTCCCAACTTTTTAGGAATTTGGTTTGTACATTTAACAAAGAAATACTTTGATTCACATACTTTTTTTTAAAATACAAAATACTTTTGAGACAACAAAATAAAATTTACACATCATTTATAGCAGTTTTACTAGATGCAGATTCAGAATCAGTTTATTATTGCCATGTCAATGAACGAGGTTCACAAAACTAGGAATTTGCTTTGACATAAGGTGCGAATAGTAATAAAGTAAAATAAAGTAAATAAAGTAAAAATGAGAACATTACATAAGACATAAGACCTGTGTACACCCACAAATAAAGTAAAATTAAAAACATAACCATATGTACACCCATACAATAGAAAAAAAATTAGTTATATAGATTATAGTTACTGTTATACTAACTTTCGCTTTCAGCTAATGTTTTTGCTAATCTTAAGATTTTAGTGGGACTGTGTTCACTTTCATTGTTGTATTATTACTTTTTTTTTTTTTCATGTGGTAAAGGCAGGACCCGAAAGTCCCAGGTTCGATCCAGTCATTGCACATCTCGTGGTGTCACTGAGAAGGATACCCATCCCCAATGGCCTTCAACAGCTGCCCACTGCTACACCTGGGAGTGATGGTTAAATCGGTCCTTCTCAAATAGTGGGGCACGCTCCCCTTGGGGGGGGGTGTGGTGTGGTGGTGCATGTGACCTAGAAAACATCAGAATTCATCATGTCCTGGATGACAGAATCTTCACCAGCATACCCTAGAAAACATGCTTTTTTTGCCACAGGGAGTAAATATATATTTTTTCCCACCATTCTCATTATGCGCGTGCGTTCCTAATAAAGTTATGAACAAATATGGCTGCCTTGTAATTTTCGGAGCCATGCATGACCCATGTCTCGCCTCTCTGCTGCTGACTTGATAAATAAACTCAGACCGTCACCTCCTCAGTCCTCCGCTCCTGTTTTTATGTCCATGCGCTCTGGACGTCACTCAGCGCGCATGCAACAAAGAGTAAACTCAAGCGAGAGCGACACCTGCCCCCTTTCCTCTTTCGCATTGACAAAATGTTTTTATCGATAAGTTTGTCAAAGCACAATTTACAGAGGTAATGTTTAGTAAATCTCTAGTAGGACTCTATGGAGGACTCTATTCTTTGCCAACAAAATAAATTCACCTCCTCAGAGTTAAGCTGCTGTTTTTGTGATTCTCTGGACGTTTGTCACTCACAGCATGCAGGTGACAAAAGTAAATTCAAAGCGTGTTACCTGCTCCCCTTCTTTCAGATTGACATTTTTTTTGCTTTATCAATGTGTGCTCATTGATCCAGACTTCCCAATTTTGATTAAAAATCAGCATAAATTGTTTCATTCATTTTTGTAGGTCAAAGTGTTTTGTAAAACACTCCTGAGTTAAAATGTTGCTGATCAATTTGAATTTATTATTTATTGATTATATTTAATTTTATTTTTCAGTACCAAATGGTCTAAAATGTTTAGTTTAGTAAGGATTTTTTTTAGGCAAAATGATGCACTTTAAGTTGTTTCTGTTACAAATTAAAAAAAAAAACAATGTTAATAGTTATTCTTCGTTGTAAGTTGATTTATATTGTTTTTTCCTTTAATGTTAATAAGGATACAGTGTTAGGCAGAGGTGCACATAACAATTCTAGACATACCATTTAATCACAGCGGAGAGTTGGGGGGCGAGCAAAATGTTTGTCTTCCTGGGTTGGGGGGGGGTTTATAACAGAAAATAATTGAGAAGCACTGGGTTAAATGCAGAGCCAATTTCACCATTGTATGATAACATACAATAATAACACATTTATCGTTTTGGATGAAAGACAAAACCTCTCAGCAAAACAAACTAAAAAAAAAAAACCTGTCCAGATGACCCGACTGAACATTGTTGGATTTGTACCTCGAGTATTGAGCATGATTTTTTTTTTTTTTATTATTAAATCCACTAGTTGTTTTTTTTACGCAAATGTAATTTCCTTTTTATATTGGTTTTTGTTTTGAATGAGCACCATCTGGTGTATTTTCAAGACGATCCCCAAAACATTTTTCATTAAAGACCATCGTGAAGAGTTGGGGTGGGGACAAAGCTGATGATGGGCCTTTGTCCCGCTCAGAACACATCACTGGACACCATGAGTGATCATCTAAGGGTCCCAACTTCCTCAGCTGTCAAGTCCAGTTAGTCTACGAAGAAACACCCAGGTACTTCTGATCACTTACGAGTTGTCAGGTTTAGTTTTGAGATCGTAAAATCATAAACCACCAATTTTCTGATCACCTTCCAAGTTCGTGTTTTATTGTCATTCGCATCACGTGGTACGAGGTGGAACAAAATTATGTACACAGGGTCCCAGTTACATCCAGAAATACAAATATAAAAAAAAGTGTAAAAAGAAACGGTAAATAAGGATCTTAGATATAAACTAAGACATATGCTAAACAGTACACTGAACAGCAGCATAAACACGTTTGTGAGTAGAGTATGACTGAATACAGCAGCATGAAATAATCTGGAGGATGGATTCCGAAACTCCTTGAACTCGTTTGCTAGTCTGACCATCTGCTCGTTGCAGCTTCAGCCACATAGCACACCAAAAGCAAGACACCGCAGGGAGTTGAACCCTGTTCTGACAAGTCAGAAGTGCCTCCACCGGAGTCTTTTGCTTTTTTTTTTTTGGCCTATAACTTGGGCAAAAGCAAAACCTGAAGGAACAAACAAGTTGTTCCTTCAGTAAAAGAAAGCCCTCCCAATACTTAGCTGCTATATATTCATGTCACCACATGGATATTTTTGTTGATCAACCTGAAACTAGAAGGCAGAACATTTCCTCACCCTTCTGGGTGTTTCCCATAAGATGTGCATTTAGCTTACACCATGAAACGCTTTCATATCCAAAATAAAAACCAACGCCACAATACCACCATCCCTCGTCAATCTCATGGATTCCATTTGCATTTCTTCAGGACATGAGGCTTAACTGAACACTTAAAAGCTGCAATGAAAGAAAGAAAAGGACAATTTTAACTACCCCCCCGCCCCTCCCCCATAACTATCCCACTGCTAAACGCAAATTGTTTTAACAAGATAACGTTTACCACGACTGATGTAGCATTTACCACAGCTACTTCTCTTCATTGACGCTCAACTCTTCCAAGTAAGACTGATCCCTAGAGGCTGGCTGTACCAAAATCATCCCACCACTTCCTGGGAATTTAAGATGCCTGGCTTGGTAGCAAGATTTAGCTGTACGAAAGAATCTGCAAGGAAGAGAGAGACAAGTGTTGCACCCCCCCCAAAAAGAAACACCCCCCACTATACACTAATGCAATGTTTGACGACTTTATGAACATTATGTTGCGATATGCAAATTAAATGTTATGCAGAGCTGAGGTGCATGCAACATGTCTTGTTACACATTTAAGCCATGATGTTGAAAAATCCAAATTAAGGGAACTAAAAATCACTTAACCTGGCACCCACGAAACTGAGGTGATGCAGTATTAGAAACAAGCTTGCAGATCTTGATCTTACAATGCAGGACCGTTTTCCACCACAGGTTAGGGCCATCCCAGATGACAACACAATTTACACTTTTTACCTAAGAAACCAGAAGAAAAAAAGGGGGAAAGCACACAGACAAAGAGCAGGGCTTCGCAAAGGACGCCGGGGATCAGATTTGAGCTCAAGCGTACGGGGGATCGGTACTTCATTCAGGGTGGCACTCATTCGCCGACAGCTTCCACAGATGACTTTGCATTCAGGGGCAGGTGAGATTGAAGGGGATAGACGAGTATGATCTGAAACAAAGTGATCTACACGACACACCCACCACACATTGTACACAATACAAAGAGTTGTGTGTTCTACTGATGTGGTATTAAGATGCAAAGCAATAAGGCCCCAAGGCCAAAGAGGAATTTAAAAGTAAAGCATTGTTGCAGATGATTTTAGGTTAACATAAAGCCAGTTCCAAGATGTCATTTTGTCATCTACACATTGCATAGGTGTTTTAGGTAAGTCAACATCTTACTACGCGCTCCAGGCTGGAGGACTTGACTTGTGCTTGAACCGGTCTTGTATTGAGATTTCTGCAAAGAGAAGCGTAGGGACACGCCCAACCAAACATGTGCATGTACTAAAGCAACACAGTTGCATTGCATTGCATTTCAGGCCAAATGTAAGCTGCACAATGCACAGCGTCGCTCAGTTCTTTCAATTTAGAAAATGCACAGTTGCGCATTTGTTGTCATGTGATCAACCTGCCACTTGCACAGTTGCACAAGGGCCAGCAACTGAGGACTACATCAATTTTTAAAAAAAGATGCCAAGACAACCTGACCCTTCCTGTTCAAACTGCATGTCGGTCATGTTCAAAGGGCTGGAAGATTCCTGTGTTGTCCTAGGCGGACTGCATTCTTCCTTTGGACCGCTCTGTAAAATTGAAAAGGTAGAAAAGACACCCCGGACCCTCTCCACAGTATCGTAGAACTGACTGTTGTTATCCTTACCCAAATGCTTTACTGCAGATAATGTTAAGTCTAATGAAGCTCCATCAAATCTTCCTTTTAAAATTAAAAATTAAGCAGTGCTTTTTCCAAGTAGAACAAATTTCAAATAGAAAAGTGCACTTACTTAAATAAGCGACTTACTATACATTTCCAATAATTTGATGGGATTCAACTTATCTGCATTTTCCACTTTCAAAAAGGTCATTGAGCCCAGGTCACATCCGTGCTCTACAAAGAATACTCCAAGCTCTAGTCAAACCTGAAAAAGCACAAGGAAAGCTTCCCCACACAAGCCCCTCCCAAAAGAACAAACGCATACCAAAACTGTATTCAATCACAACAAGCTATGCATTTATTATGCAAAAATAAAATCCTTTACAGATAGTTTACTCATTGTATTATCAATACAAGGCACAACAACTAATTGCAAAGGAATTGCAATGAATGGATCTAGCAAAACAATGAATGTTAGGATAAATGTGAACACAGTGAGCTTACGTGATGCTCGATGTGCAAGGGAACTTGTACAGACAATGAGTTAGAACTCCTGATGGTCTTGGGTATTGAAAGCACACAGGACACAGCACACTGAAAAACTGCAAAGAAAAACAAAAGCCTTCTCCCCACAAGACCCCATTCCAATACAATGAAGCTGTACAGAACACATACTGGTTTTACAGCAAGCAATATGAACTGCCTTAAAGAACTATGAATACAGTTTACAAAGTATGGATGTAAATTTCCCAAAAATATTCAGATACCGCAAGCCTGAGCATGAAGAATCCTTCCTGACCGGTAGTTGGACTTGTGGATTTGATTGGGCCTTTACTTACAAATCTGCAAGTCAAACATACACAATCCCCTCCCACAGAGCAACTGCAAGTTAAAAGAATTTCTAGTAAAGAGACTTGTTACCACATTCTCTTGGGGAAAAAGCAGGCTCTGTACACCAGACGACTAGCTTTACGGTTGCTATTCCATATGGCCAAGTCGACTTGAATCCTGTTGGGTATGCCTGGATGTTTCCTATTCATGCCGTGTGAAGCTGTAAAGTCTAGGAAGAGACTGATTAACTCCCCCACACCCCACCCACCCACCATTAGGCCCCTAAAAATATATACAACTTTCACATTTTATGTTACAAACATGAAAATAAAATCCCTTACATACAAAATACCTTCCTAGACCTTGTTAAATGACAGCTGATGCACATGATCCTGATCCGAAGGAAGGAAGCACTATTGTACGCAAGGTGGCCAACTTGTATAGAGTAGCTGTGTGCAACCAAGGATTCTCTCCATGGTGTGCTTTGGGGGGCAGGCCTGTAAAAAAAGAGAAACTCCAGACACTTTTAACACCCCCCCTCCCCTAACCCCCAAGTTGCCAGCCTAAGGAAACCATTGCAACAATTCTATCAGAGCTAATAATGACTGATGTACAGGATCCTTACTCCACATGTACACTTCATGCATTAACTCACTGCTGGGTTAAGAGGTAGGTAGAGCTGATCTGTACCAATGGGGGAGTCGAAGTACCGAAGGGCTGCTGAGCACACCCAATTCGCTGCACAGAAGATCACCCACACTCCAGAGCTGTAAACTTCTGTCGACCTATCAAAACGACCAAGGATTGCTTTTCCTTCCAGTAGCAGGGAAACGATGGATTGCAGTGGGTTGTAGTCCGATTAAGAGCTTGTCCACCAGCACACTACCAAGGCATTCATCACAGTAGACACCCAAAAATCACACGCACAAGGAGATGACCACCGTACAACACGCTTTACACAGCTTGCCTGAAAAAAGGAAGAGAAATCTGTGCAAGAAATTTGGTTCTACAACAGTTGTTGAAAAGAACTTTAAAAGTCTAAATGCCTGAGAACGTTACAGGGATACCTCAAACCAGTATACAAACCAATGACCAGTTTAAAGTTGAAGCTAGATCTGTGCGCCCATCCCACCCTTGGCTCTGGCGTTGGCCTCTCAGCTACACTGCCCTGTGCCTCTGGCGCCCTCTGGTGTACGCTCGCAGACAGCTGATCTCTGGAAACTTCTCTGCTCTGGCCTCCATGCTCTCGTCCTGCCTGGCTCGACTCTGGTCCTCCCACGCCCTCAGGTCCTGTCCTGCCTGGCTCGACTCTGGTCCTCTCAC